CCAAAAGTCTTCAGATAAATGACTGTCCAGTCTTTTTTTTTAAAAAGGCTCCAGTGATGGAGCACCCACAGTTTGTGAACAGTGATAACACTGAGTGGTGAGGAGACATTGTTTGGTCGACTGGTGTATCTAAGCTTTAGACACTGTAGAAATATCTCTGGTATCACTGGACAACAAAATTTTGCTTCCTGAAGACTTTTGGGTGTATCTTATAGATTTTTGACTGCTAAACCTTAATCTACCATGTACTGTTTTATACAAAATTTCTGTTTTTGTGATTTTGTATGTATATTTTAAGTTACTCGTTTTTGCTTGCATTATAAGATGCTTTGTGTAGCTCATGCATGTCCAGGCATGCACTCAGGACATATTGCATAATATTAGTGAAACTGGTATAGACATGCTAGGCTGGCTGGATGCTGCACCTCCCTAGGCATGCTAGGCAGGCTGGATGCTGCCTGGAAAGGCTATTAAAGCAGCTCGCATGCACAGATGCTATTCATTTTGTTGGTATCAGTTTCCATGAATTTTGATGTAATTGTTTCAAGACATAGCACTATGCCTTGAAACAATTACATCAAATTACATGTCTATGTACATGTAATTTACATAACAAGTAAACCAGTTATAAACTTGTTATAAGATGATTGGTGACAGCAGAAATATCTCACTAATGTCATGATGACAGCCATGATACATTCTGCTATAAGCCTCAAAGACATGCCCTGACTAGGCTTGTTAAGAAATTGTAGGAACCGTACTTTGGTTGTAAGATTGTGACCAGGATAAAGCCTGGGTTCCTCACATTTGTTGTACAAAATTATCTTAGAATTTGGCTCGGGGGAACTCAGAAGTCAATGCTGTTTGCTGTTCCAATCATATGGTGAGAACAGAATGATCCTGTGACAACTGTCTGACTAATGTTGCTGGTTTCTCTGCTAAAAATATCAAATCAATTAAATATTCCAATCTGCCTTCACATGACAACAATCTTTCAGTATCGAAGCCACCAGAGAAATGGAACTTAGATGAAGCAGACAAAGATGCTGCAGTGCACCAGCCAGGCATGGACAGTGACAATGATCCAGATTTTGAACTGTGTATGTCTGGTGAATCACATCTCATAACAGAGTCAGAATTAAACGACCTGATCAGGGACTTAGGTTTATCAAAATCAAAAGCAGAACTACTGAGTTCAAGACTGCAAGGATGGTGTTTGATATCAACAGGTAAGAAAATTTATGTCTTTTAAAGCCACCAAGATTATTTAACAAAAATTTTAGCATAGGTTGACAGCCTCGCTTTCTATACTGACATTGACAGTTTGTTCCCAACTTTGGGTTGCAAGGATGGCCCACTAGAGTGGTGTCTCTTTATTGATTCTTCAGTGTTAAGCCTCAAGGCTATCTTGTTACACAATGGCAATTTATATCTTTCAGTGCCTGTTTGCTATGCTGCGTGCATGCATACAAAAACATGAACTGTTAATGAAACACATCCAGTACACAACTGGAATATCTACGGAGATCCAAAAGTAGTGGTTCTGGTGCTTCAAATGCATCTCGGATATACCAAGTACCATTGTTACATATACAAATGGGACAGTTGTACAAGAGTCACATTACTTTAAAAAGAAATGGGCATTCTAAAAGAATTTGGTTCCACGACAGAAAATGTGATACACGATTCACTTGTTGACCTGACAAATATATTTTTGTCTCCATTTTACATAACCATTTTACAGACTGATGAAAATTTTTGTGAAAGCAATAACAAGGAAGATGAGGGTTTTTGTTATTGGAGATAGATGTTTTCAAGTATAACTGATGCCAAAATTAAGGAAAGNAGAAATTATTGGGTCTGTGGCAAAGGGAAGGTTCTTCATGCCTTATTTTCTCATTTGTAATGAAATTAGTTGATTTTCAAATGTGTACTAAACTGGCTTAACTAAATTTGTATTTCTATAGGGAGAACCTGGAGATAAAGGAATTCGAGGGCCACCAGGTCACGCACAACAACCCACACTTATAAAAGGTGCTGCTTTTATAGCTTTTGAATATTGCTATGTGGCTTAGCAATTTTTTGGGAAAGTGTTAAATATATTAATATGAGATAATCTGGAGTTATCCTTATGTAGCTGAAATTTAAGCTATAACTTTGGGGGTTTTCCAGGTGTACCTGGTGACCGGGGAATGGATGGCATTCAAGGCCCTGAGGGAGAGAGAGGAACCAAAGGCAGTCCTGGCCCACCTGGTGCAGAAGGATCATTTGATGGTAACTTTCTACCCCTCTGTTATAGCGCATTGATTCTGGAGAAATATATTCACTTTTCTCCAGTCTATGATAATTGATGTCATTATAACTGCTAAAGTGGCTTGGCTGATTTCCTTGGATCTCTGCAGCTGTTTATGCAATCCAGGCACATTTTCATAACAAATGCTTCTTTTTCACTGCTTTGAATAGAATGTATGTAGACTGTGTTGTTTTGAAGATAAAGATTAATTAGAGACATCAGTGTCTTGGCAATAACCCAGTAAGCATGTAATTGTAGCTCTTTTCAGCACTGCGGCTCTACCGTCATCATATTCACCATCCATAATGTTTGAAATCTGTGACGGAGGGGGCTTCAACATGTTGGGGATGGGAAAATAAGGGAATCCAACTTGAGCAATTATTAGTTTTATAACTATAATGAAAGAAAATTTATTTACAAGAAATATTTTGAAAAGATAGTTGAGGCTTAATGTTTAGCTAGCAATATCCTGTAAGAAAGCGAGTCAGCAACCGTGTGCTTTCCGGCACCTCAGTGTCTATCATTCTGTCCATTGCTCTGTCCATCAGCCCTCTCTGCTCACTCACATGTGTGCCTCTACCCACCCAGCTCAGTTTAAGTTCACTATTGTGTGGCACATCTGCCACCTACCCATGATCACTGGCTCACTCACTTGCCTGGATCAGCTCGCCTCCGCCATCCCCGGGTCCACTGGGGCCCTCCTTTGGGCCCTGGGTCACCTCCTGGTCATCTGATCCCTCTGACCTCT